GGCTGCACCAGGGCAGTACTGCCTTGTGCTGCCCTCCTCACTGTCCTCACAGTGGTAAAGCGGTTGCCAGAGCACGTGCAGGTGGATGACCCTGCCGCCCAGAGGAAACTGGCTAAGAAGCTGGAGCGGCAGCAGGTAGGAGGAGGGATGCATAGCGTGCTTCAGGGTGGTCGTGCTGCGGGTGTGCGTGGTGGGACTGGGGCCTGCCCTCTGCTGGGCAGAGGTACCTCTGGTGTGCCACAAGTGAGTGCTGGGTGTGACTGGTGGCACAGGAGTGAGCAGGGCTGTATGGCGGCCTTGGGTAAATCATCATTAACCCTGTTTGGCTACAGGTACCTCTGAGGCAGGACTATGGCACCAAGGTCAACCTGTTCTCCCACTTGCACCAGTACAGCCGGAAGAAGCCACTGACACAGCAGATGAGGTATGTGGCCTCCTCGTCCCAGGCCCCTGGCAATCATTTGGCTGTGCTTTGCCTGGCCTGGCTGCAAAACGACCCTAGTGCAGGGGTGTCTTGGTCTGATGAGTGGGATGGGTGTGATGGAGTGGAAGGGGGCCCCTTCACTTGCTCTGGGTGAGGAGAGCTGCCCTCGGATGGTACAGGGCCACAGGACAGGGGGCTGTGGGGTTAGCCTGACTCCTTGAGTCACAGAGCAAGTGGGGGCCAGACTGATAACTCCCTTCTTGGGCCCTCCCTCAGAGTGTTTGGCTGGGGGCCTGGCAAGGGGTTGGGTTGTTCCTGGGCTGTAGAGGAAAAGTGCTGACCACTGTCTCATGGTTGTCCCTGCAGCATCCCCTCCACGGTAATTCACCCAGCTGTGGTGCGCCTTGGCCTCCAGTACTCCCAGGGCATCATCAATGGCTCCAATGCCCGTTGCATTGCCCTGCTGGAAGTCTTCAAACAGGTATGTGAGCAGCTACCCATGCCCACCAGGCAGCAGAGGTGTTGCGTCAGACACAAGCATCCCTTCCTGTTCCCGGACTACTGGGACTGTATCTGTGCTCAGTCATCTTCAGTCTCTTCCTTCTGACTGTGCCTGGGGCTGGGCCCTGCTGAGATCCTGTTCTGGCACTGCCAGTGCAGATTCGAGTTCCTGGAGCACCCCTTTGCCTCCCCTGTGAAACCGTGTCAGCTGTGGGGTGCACACTTGTGCCTGGTCTGCAGCCTTTTGGGCGCAGGTGGTCGCGTGCGGTGCCTGGCCAGAAGGGACAGGTGCCCTGAACTCATGTTCTCTTCCTTCTTGTTTCAGCTGATCCGGGATTACTCAACTCCCCCCAACGAGGAGCTGTCACGGGACCTGGTGGCCAAGCTGAAGCCACACATCAGGTGAGGGTTACTGGTGCCGGAGCAGTGGGACTGAAGTTCTACTGAGTGTGGTCCGTCAGTCGTCTCTCTGGGTTGGTGTCCACCAAACTTGGGCTGACTTTCCTGGGGCTCTGGGTTCTGCCTCCTTGCCCACCATCCCCAGCCCAGCTGCGCCTTCCGTCTTCCTGTCCCTCCCCTCCAGGGACAGGGTGGCTCTGGAGCAAAGCTCGTTTCTTCTCTGCAGCTTCCTGAACCAGTGCCGTCCCCTCTCAGCCAGCATGGGCAATGCTATTAAGTTCCTCAAGAAGGAGATTTCGTGCCTACCTGACACTCTGAGAGAGGAGGAGGTGAGTGGCCTCACACCAGCTCCAGGCTCCAGCCCTCTGCCTGCAGGCACCAGGCAGGAAGGACAGCCCTGGCACAGGCCGAGCAGGCGGAGGTGATGACATGCAGCCTGGGAGCAGTGTTGCAGGAAAACTAGAAGACTGGGGCTGTCAGCATCACGAGGCACGGCCTGAGCAGGGACTGCGGCCAGAGCTGCTCCCCCTCTGCCACCAGGCACAGCCAAGCAGGACCCGAAGGAGCCGGGGTGCGCTGCAGCAAGTGCTGGGCTGGTAGTGTTGCCAGGCTGGTGGGACTGGAGCTTGTCAGGAGCAGGGATGTAAAATGGGAGAAGCTGCAGCAGACATGCATGGAACACGGCACTGCACCACAGGCCTCGCCAGCAACCAGCATTGCACCTGCACTGAGAAGTGACTCCTGAGTGGCCAGAGGGCTGGCAGGCTGGTCCAGCTGGTGCCACGCGCTGCAGGATGGCCACAAAGGCCGCAGCAGCTGGGCACCGTGAGCTGCCCTCGCCCACCAGGACTGCCTGTGAGGGCGTTGTTTGTCGGCATCAGTGAAGTCGCAGATGAAGAAGAACATGTTTTTTCAGTGCTCAGCTAAGTCCCTTGCAGAAAGCTCCACATGAGCCCATTGGCTGTGAAGCAAGGAGCAGGGTGGTGGTACACGTCAGCAGGACCCCTAAGGCTGAGTGGCAGGTGGGCTGAGGGGAGTCCAGCTGGAGAGCCCGAGCATTAAAATCTCCATGGGATGACCAGAGCAACTGGCCCAGGAGATGTGGGGGAGATATGAGCAGAGCTGGAGAGGGCCTGGTGGCAGCTCGAACACATGGTGAGGCACCGCGGCCGTGCAGGAGGCTTGTGCTGGGACAGGAGTGGCCCTGTGTGTCCTGCAGAGCCCCTGTCCCAGGGTATCATGCCGTTTGGCAGACAGGCTGGTTGGGAGCAGGACAGGACTCTCCACTTGGAGGCAGAGCTGAGCCCACAGCCCTGCCAGGCTGCAAGGGACAGCAGGGTGTCTGCAGTGTGGCACGGCCACGCTGTACATGATGGCACTGTCTCCCCAGGCAAAGGAGAAGCTGCAGGACACTATCGACAAATATCTGCGGGAGAAGATTCTTTTGGCAGCTGAAGCCATTTCGAGGTCTGCCTTTGAGAAGATAAATGACAACGATGTGATCCTGGTGTACGGATGGTAAGAGGAGAGCTGGGGCAACCAGGCTAGCGGATGGAAAAAGTAAAGGGAGCAGTTGAGTCAACACGGGAAGCTCTTGCAAAAGCAGTTTTTCAATGGTGGGAAAGTCAGCATTGCCCAAGGGGGAGGAAGGGGTTGTGGCTCTGGGTCCAGCAGCTACAAATAAAACAAGTGGGATGGGGCAGTCCCAGGGCACCAGCCAGAGCTTGGCCGTGGTGGGCAACTGGTAAATAAAGGCATAAGGAAGAAGTCTGTGACCAGCAGAGCGGGACAGAGCAGTGGATGTATGAGGGTGTCAGGACTGAGCAGAGCATGGCCCTGGGATCGGTATTGCCGACTGGGGGTGGGAGTATTATCAGTGCTTCAGAAAAGGCAGAGAGCTCGTTAGGATTCTTGTCCCATCCTGGGAGACAGACAGGCTAATGAACTTGCACAGGCTGATGAGTTTGCGTCAGGAGGTGGTGGCAGAGCACTTTCTGCCAGGCAGCTGCCGAGGGGACTAAACGGTGTCCGCGGAGCACAGCGGTCAGCGCTGGCAGCCCTGGCTGGGAGCAGGCATCCCCGGAGGGCCCTGCTGCCGAGGACCGTGTCCTGCGGATGTTGCTTCCGATTTCTCTGCACGCTGGGACAGGCCAGATGCTGGAAGCAGTGGAACCCTTGGACCAGTAGAGGAGTGAACAGGAGGGTCTGATCAAGTAGCCTAATAACAGCGTATCCTGATTAATGCAGTTGCGTCGGCACCTCAGGCTCAGCTTGTGAGTGCCTGAGTTTGCCATTCCGACTCACCCGGACTTGTAGTCCCGCCAGCCCATAGTGTTACAGTGCTGGGCAACACGTCGGCTGGGCTGGCAAGTGCTTGGCAGAGCCCTAAAGCCACGACTGTCAGTGAAGCCTGTGCTGAAGACTCGTCCTCGGGACTTTGCTTTTCCTGTTCGGGGCTCGACACTGCCCTCTGTGTGCACGTGTCTGGAGTTAGTCTCAGTTAGGAACCGAGATTCACTGCTTCTTCCATACAGGGCATTTACAGAGCAGCCCGGGCTGTTTACTGGCATTTTAAACAAACTGCAGCAAAGTCAAGCGTCAGGAAGCAAAACTACGGAAGCTCGTTCTTCCTTCAAGAGACTGTCCCAGAATGTAGACGTGGGAAAAGGAGCCTGAGACCACTGTGGCAAAACAGAGTCCAAGTGTGCTGTGCCTCCTGGGTGATGCGTGGAGGAAGGAGCTGGGGCAGGAGGCCAGTGCGAGGCAGGAGCATTATGAGAAGGAAACTTGGAGAGGTTTGGAGTCAGTCTCTCACTGTGGTTGCGGACAGGTGGAGGTCAGTGCTGCTCCCAGGAAGGACTGAGACGCAGCTTTTCCCAGGGGGTGATTCTTTGTGCAAGGAAAGGGAGAGGGGGCCCTGGGAGCAAACGTAGCCAGAGTGTCTGGAAGGGGCAGCGGTTGTAACAGCGAGCACGTACATCAGCTCTGCCTGGACTCATCTCTGGGCAGCACTAGCCCATCGGGGTCTCGATGGGAGCCTGACTCCCATCCTGGGCAAGAGAGGCATTGCTCGGTTCAGGCTGGGTGTGCCCAGGGAGCTGCCATGGCAGCTGGTGCCTGGCAGTGCTAGCTCTGCTGCACAGCCTGCCCCGCCGTCGGGTGCGTGTCAGGGCTGTCCCCTGGGCAGGACCCCATGCAAACGCTCCGAAAACCTCCTGCCTAGTTAGTCCCACAGTGGAGCCAGTGCCAAGTAAAGTCTGACTGGGGCTCGTGTCTGGGCGATGCTGGCGGCGGGGCAGCCACACGTGTCATGTGAGAGCCTGGTGGGATGGGGCAGCCTCCTAACTGGTGCCCACCAGCTCTTCCCTCGTGAACCGTACGCTGTGCGACGCCCATGTGAAGAAGGGCCAGGCCTTCCGTGTGATCGTGGTGGACAGCCGGCCGCGGCTGGAGGGCCGGGAGACACTGCGCCGGCTGGTGCGTAAGGGCATTCACTGCACCTACGTGATGATCAACGCCATTTCTTACGTGCTGCCGGAGGTAAGGAGCGGAGCGGGGCTGTGCTGGGGGCGGTGGCGAGCATGGGGGAGGCTGCAGCATGATAAAAGGTGCCAAGGGATCCCTGCCCTTCCCTGACAGGTGTCCAAAGTGCTGCTGGGAGCCCACGCGCTCCTGGCCAATGGCTCTGTCATGTCCCGGGTGGGGACGTCCCAGATAGCGCTGGTCTCCAAGGCCTACAATGTGCCCGTCCTGGTGTGCTGTGAGACCTACAAGTTCTGCGAGCGAGTGCAGACAGACTCTTTTGTCTCCAACGAGCTGGGTATGGCTTCTGTCCCCTTCCTCCCACCTGGGACCTGCTCCCTCTTACCTGCTGCTCCCAGGACGGACGGATCTGCCTTGCCATTCCCCTTCCTGGCCTAGGGGCCACCACTCGCAGGAAGGGTGGCCATTGGGCCAGGCAGGCAGCAGGGCAGGATGGAGAGGTGCTGTCCCTCTCCCTGATCCTGCTGGCTGCTCCTCTCTCCACAGATGACCCCGATGACCTGATCGTGCTCCGGAAGGGCCAGGCCCAGCTGGGTGGCTGGGCAGAGAACAAGTCCTTGCGCCTCCTCAACCTGGTCTACGACGTGACACCACCTGACCTGGTGGATCTGGTCATCACGGACTTGGGCATGATCCCTTGCACCTCAGTGCCTGTTGTCCTGCGTGTCAAGAATGTGGATCAGTAGCAGGGGCAGCTGCACAGACGCCAATAAACCAGGCCCCACGATACACCTCGTCTGCCTTCTGTGGTGTGGCAGGAGCCCTGGCACCCCGTGGCACCGCAGGCTCAGCTCTGCACTCTCCTTGAGCGTGCTGGCACTTCTGCCCAGCGCTACCCAGCCCCTGTCCTCCCACTCCAGGCTGCAGTGGGGAAGGACCTTCCCTGCCTCCAGACCTCTCCTTTGGAACTTGGGGGCAATGGTGGCACTGTGTCAGTGGCT